GGAGGGCCTGGGAAAAATCTAAACTCCTCCCTGTGGCCTAGGAGGGCAGAAGGCTCCCACTTACCCACAAGTCAAGCTCGGGGTGTCCCCGGCTGTATGGAGGGTTCTTTCCAAAGCCCCCCACCGCCAGTGTGTCTGAAGGGCCCATTTCTAGAAAGATTCTGATGGGGGTGAGGGTGCCCACGTGGCCCCCCAAACATTGAATTGAAAGGCTGTGGGGGAGCTCTGGGTCAGGGAGCTAGATGGGGTGCAGGGAGATGGAGATGCCAGTGGTCCTCCCCTCTTCTCATCTTTAAATCCCCCCTGGAGACCCCTCCACCCCCACTCTGAGGAGAGGTGAGGGAGGGCCTGTGGCTGAATATTCACCTTGATGGGAGCCTCAGTTTACCCAGTGTCAACAGAACACAGCCTCACGAATGTGGGGTTATTGTCTTCCGGCTGCAGAAGGTTGGGATTGGGGGTGCTTCGGGGTGCTTCCCACCTGTGGTTTTTTCCTTGGAGGGTGAAAATTAGGAAGCTAGGTGTCCATGACACCTGGCCCTCACCCTCCACTTTGCAGGAGCCCTGGGCAGGTCTGAGCCCTAAATGCAGGGCCTGGGTGGGTAACGGGGGGGGCCTCCCCCTTGTATCCCCCCCCCATTACCCTCAGAAGAAGAATGACTTCTCCTTCTAACCCCACCTGTGCTGGGCCCGGCAGGACCTTACCTGTGAGAGGGAGCTGGTGGGCGGAGCCAGAGGTGGGGACTGTCACGAGGGCCAGCAGCTGGGATCGAGGCTGTGTGTGGGGCTCAGCTGTGTGACCTCTGGCCTGTGGCTGCCCCTATCTGGGCCTCAGCCAAAGGGAAATGGAACGATGAATGGGAAGTTGTGGTGTCGGGGTTGGGGGGAGGTCCAGGCACCTCCTGCCAACACTTAACCTGGTTTAGCTTCTGGGAGCCTCCAGGCTGCAGGATGCATGCTGGTGGTGCTGGCTGAGAGCAGTGGGGTGGGCGTGTGGACCCCGGCTTGTGGGGAGAAAGCCTCTGACAGCCTTGTGGGCCCCAGAGCCTGGGCACCAGCAGAGCTGAAAGGGCCAGAGTGGGGAGAAGTGATAATGTCCGTCATGGCCGTGCTCACTGTCTCACCTGTGATTTTCACACTTGGGGGCCTGTTTGATCCCCCACTGAAGTGATCGCCATGGTAGTGGGCTTGTGAGCACGGATTTTGGGCAAATCTTGGGTCCCGAGGTCCCACCAGAGCCGATCCCCCAACTGTCACACCTTCGTCTCCCTCTCAGGCCAGAGGAAGCAGAAGTATATCTGGGTGATGAAAGGGTGACAGTTTCCATCCCCAACTCCCACGCCGAGGGTGAGGACCCCCAGCGGTGGTGTTGGGCAGGGGAGGGGTCTGTGAAATCCGCCAGCCATGGCCACGAATAGAGTGGGGGCCTGTGTAGTGGGGCCCATGCTGGGACCAAGAGAAAGACGGGGTCCAGCCAGGCCCCTGGGCTCTGGAGATGGGGCAGAGGTGCGGGGAGAGGAGAGGCAGTGAATGTTCCTCAGAAAGAGGGCAGGCCCATGGTCACTGGCTTTTCTTGTTCTTAAGAGAAAGAGATGGAGACAGAGAGACCGGTGGAGAGACACAGCAAGAGTAGGGAAGGGAGAGAGATTACACAGAGACAGAGGGAGGGAGAGACCCAGGAGGGAGAGACAGGGGGGAGCCTCCCCCACCCCCACACACCGGGAGAGGCAGAGAGGGTGGGAGTCAGGGAGAGGGGTGGAGAAGCGGGAGCAGGGAGGCCACGAGACGCCTCCCCGCACCCAGCTCGCAACCAGAGAAAGGCCTCCGTCAGCGCTCCAGAGCGGCCGGGGCTCAGGCCGGGAACTGGGGGACTCCCAGTGGCCCGTGTGCAGTCATCACCCCTTCCAGTCGCCGGCCGGGGGCCAGCTCCCCCCGAGGGGCCGGGCGCACGGGGGCGCTCCCTCCCAGGCGCCGACGCGGCCCGCCCGAGCCGGCCCTCCGCGGATCGGGCTGAGTGTTAACGCCCACCCCGCCCGGGGCAGGTGCCCGCCGCAGGGCTCGTCCGCTGCGCGGCCCCCGTGTATGGTGATCGCATATGCATTTGCATGTTAATGACAATATTTGTCTTAAAGCGGGGGTTGTGAGGGGGGCCGGTGC